CCCACACCAGTTTGCCAGTACTTTCTTGTTTCTTTACTTTTTCCCATTTTTAATCCTACTGCTTTTCCATTTTTAATGTTTTTTATTTACTTGTTTCCTCTACTATTGTCATCGAAAATAATGATAAAAATGAGGTAGGCAACCTCGCACCGCCGCTGCGCTCAGTTTCAATCGATATCACATCCTAAAAGATAGGCTAAATAGATATCATAGACCTGAGGTGGATGTCAAAGGATATGATATAGACCTGAGAGATGTGACATATCCTGAGGGCTATAATTAAGGACCCCCGCCATTATCGACTAATTAAATAATTAGCATCTTCCAAGTCTTATTGTTGACTGATTTTTCATCTGTAATTTAGGAAGTTGATGTGACAGCTACGCCAAAGAGGGAGAATCAAAGCAATTCAGATAAAACAATGGAGGTCACTCCAATTCAAAAAAATGATCCTGATTTTAGCTTGGATACTCCTGAAGGACGCAACTCCGGTGAACTACCTAATAGTAATTCAATCTTCTTGGGTCAAGTAAGCCAAGTGTGTAAATTTATTGATCAGATTAATGTAACTTCCAATTGTGCCACACCATTATGTAATGGTAAGTTAAAACTTGTATGTGTTAGTATGATTGGTCAACAAGGTTGTGTTACTTTACAATATGATTGTATTGGTTGTGCTGAGAGACGTGTTGCTTTTGAGAGCTCAATTAAGCTGAGACAGAAAACTGCACAGCAGTTGGCTTGGCCCTGCAAATTGCATTTATATGTTCAGGCGCAATGTATTCTCAATATGCTAAAGTACTTAAAAATGCTCTTGGGATGTACTGTGCAGGAAAATTGATATATTATAGGACATTGGCTTTAATGTATCCACATGTCAAGAGTATACTAAATGATGTGTGTGAGCAAGCAAAAGAATTAATGAAGCAGAAGAATGACAGTGAGCTTGGGTCTTTTGAAAATGCTGTGACATGTGGTGATGCTGCACGGTTGACATGTGGCTATCATAGTCAAAATGCTACGTATACTTTATGAAACTATCAAACTGGCGGGCTTTAGTATTATAAGCATTTTAGTCAAAGAGGTAATGATGACATAACAGGAGAATTGTTTGAAGGTACATCAAAATCTGCCGAGGGATTCGGGGCTGAGTGGTTTTTTAAAAAAGCTGTAACTGATAAAATGAACATTAGCATTCATGTGCAAGATAGTGACAGTACTTCTTCAAAAGCTTTGCTTTCCAATTTTCCTAAATGTAGGATAATTTTGTGTAGTGGTCATATTGCACGAAATCATGAAAAGCATTTAAAAAGGCTTGCTAAGCAAAAAATTAAAAAAAAGCCAAAATAAAATGTACGAAAAAACTTACCCTGATATTGCTACAGTAAAGTGTCACTGCATGAAGGATGATATTGTTTGTTTTACTAATGGTTTTATTAAAGCAGCTACGATAAACTTTTCTGCTATAGTCAAGTCTGTTGGTTCTGACCAACAAGCATTTATAGATCAATTTCACTCACTAGCTAAGTACCATGCCAAAAATGTGCATGAATGGGATGGTGGGAAATGTTTTTTTCATGATATAACTGTGTGTGATTGTCGAAAATGTAAAAAAGTGACATTACATGTCAAGGTAAGCCATATAAAACTAAGAATATTTTAAGTTGCCCATTCCATAGCCTTGCATATGAAATTGCATGTGAAACTGTTATTGCCAAATCAAAACATTATTCATGAGGAGTTAGGTTGTTGCCACACAAGCATAATTGAATCATCTCATAATGTATTGCTGCAGTTTAGAACAAAGAATTTAAACCTTCAGATGCTTCACTATTATGTTTCTACTTCACTTGGGCTTATACAAAGCAACATGTCCTGGATGTATGTGCATAGGGGCCAGCTTAACATTGGTTACTTGATCTTTTTGACGGAATGAGCCTACCCAGATTTGATGGTATGGCTGAAGCATTAAAAGCATTAAATGTTTCTAAATTTAAGTCTCATTCAAGAGTCAAACAGTGTGATGTGAAGCGAAAGAGATGAAGAGCAAGGAAGAGGCATAGGCAATCTGAACAAGCTGCACGTAAACCATGGGTTGAACAACATAAGACATGTCATACATATGGTAAGGACACACCTAAATCATCTCATAAATGGAAAGCAAAACAAGATTGGAAGATTACATATAAGGGAAAAAAGGTAAATTAAGTATAACTGACGTTAATCAAGACTTAGGCAGTGAAGTTGGCTCATTAGCTACTGTGACACAGATTGTGTATAAAAGCACAGACGATAAGGTAATTGATTAGGGTAATTTAATATCAGATGATAGTGATAATGATAAAACCTTACTTTCTAGTTCTGATGGTAATGATATTAGCATTTTGAATAGCTCTAGTATAGATAGTGATTTGGAAGAGTTTATAATGAATAGTGTTAAATGTACTTGCAGTTTTGAAAAATCTTCACACCAACAATCATGCCCACTGAATCCTAGAAACCAAGGAAAGTCTCCTGATGTTGAGTATATCAAATCTGAAAATGCAATGCCTCTAGCAATAGGCAAAACACCTTCCACAGACTGGATGAATTCTGCTGCTTTACTAGTACAAGATTATACTGGGGAGAGTGTTAGTGTAGGTACTGATCCACTTATCACTATTAAATATGTTGAAATATATCCGTACACGTCATAAAATTAAAGGAGACGAAAACTGTTTTTACAGAGCTATTTCTAAAGCTGTAACAGGGACTGAAAAAAATCACATGCTAGTTAGAATAACTATTTGTACCTTTATGACAAACAATGTATTAGAATTATCAAACTTAGTCTTACCACACATGCATGATATCACTAGTGGAAAATGCTGTGACTGCCATGAGGGCACATTCATTACATAAAAAATTAAACAAATTTGGTACATGGGCTACTGAAAATAAAATTTTTATTGCCGCAACTGTATTTCAGTTAAACATTCATGTTTCAGTACTGTCAACCCAAACAAAAATTCGCTCTTGGCAAATTTTTAAACCAATGTTTCACAATGAAAACTGTCATTACTTATCAGACTTTAATTTATATATATTTCATACAAATGCAAGAAATCACTATGATTTGCTGGACTTTAACCTTATGTAGAGTAGCTTAGCCAATTTGTACTTAATTTTTGTATAAATTAATTTCTTGCTTTGAAAGATGCCATGCAGTTATAAAATTAACATCAATGAGTTCCAAAGGTAAAATATCTAGTTAACACATGAAAACTTTCATTCTCTTTCTATGTTGGGCAGCAGTACAGTACTACCTCCACGTGGAGCTGCCTGGGATCTCTGGCCATAATACTAGAGATGCTAAATGTACTGTGGCATGCTTTTTGTCCTCCATTGCTGCCTGGCAGTCTATTTCTTATCATTGGTCCTTAGCTTGGTACGTCATAATTATTATTGTGTCTGAGTACAATTAAGACTTGTTTATCAAATTTTTGTTGTCATTGCTTAAATTTAATTTATCTCCGTTTCCTTAGCTTTCTCTCCATGTGACTGAGTTCATTTCACTGATTAGTGCCTAGTATAAGAATTTTTTAGAATTCTAAAGAACAGTAAGTTACTCCTTTTCACTTTCAATTTTGTACTTTGATATAAATAAAAGAAAGATCACTGATTGATTTGATTATTGTTTCTATTAGTATTTTTGTTAGTAAATAAAGTGGAGAAGTATAAGTGGGTATAATTTTACTAAAGCTGCAGGTACAGCTGCCAATGGTATAGTGAACTATAATTATGACTCTGTTTTTTTTGCAATTCAGTGCCATAATCATTTGACCTTTGCTATTTAAAATGTCACTACTTTCATATATCATAGTAATGTTTGTTTAAAACTAATAAAATTTTTGTTATTTGCATACCTATTTCTATATTCTAATGTTGTCTGTTGATTATACAAGTCTAATTCATTTTTCAAGCATGGTCATCAGACCAGAACTAAATGGGAGACAAAGAGGAACTGTCTCTTCCTCGTTTAACTTTATTGTTAGAACCATTTTCCTTTAATGGTGTAAACTGAGCACTTGATGCTTACAATTCAATGAGAAATTCCCAAACAATTCAGAATGTATAACATTACCAATGCAACACATTACACATGAAAAAGAACAAGACTTACCATCAGTACTATTCCAATTCTAGACTGCTCACATGTATTGATCATTGAATTTTAATAATTACTTGTACAATAAAAAAGCAGAATACTCAGTGTGTGTGTGTATAAAAAGCAGAATAGTCAACAAGAAAACTATTTACATGAAACATTGAATGAATCGCATTAGCATATCTGACAACTTTATCACGCCTTGTGTGGTCATAATGTCAATCTCTTCAAAATTAATTGTTATTTTTAACTCATAGCTGACACTGCTATATTTCCCAGGCATATTGGACTGTTCAAGCTGTGCCCAGCAAAGTCTACCTTGAAATAACAAACAAAAGAAACATAACAAACAAAAGAAACATAATTCAAAAATGAGGTAAAAAGTGGATAGAAACAAAAAATAAAATGTGTCTCATGCAGTCGCGATCTTCCCTATTTAGCTGAAGGAAGCAAGACTAATGGCAATCAAGATAAAGGACAACCAACGGTAGAGCAATTTCCCTAGTCCCTACCTGCCATACCATTGCATACACCAATACTACACTAGGCTCAGGATGTACATGTAGAAAGCTGAATAAACGAGTAATTACTCATTTTGTGTCCTTCAGTGTACAACCCAAGCAAGGGTACTGATTCTGGGAAGTAATGTAATCCTAGGGCATTCAAATAAAAATATAGCTACCCTATAGATGAGTCCAACACAATATTATTTACATGTCCTGAGGACTTAGCCTACATGTGTACCAACAAATGAAACTAAACAAATAATGAAACTACAATGTACCTCAATGACGAACATCACAATTTTAGGCGCATTGTTCGTAGAAATACAAATAGAACAATCAAAGAATCCCTAAACGCCATTATTAAAGTTTCTGTATGCAATAATGTAGCATCACTCACAGATAGTATTTAGAGTGTCCATGGTTTTTTCACCTACAGTCCCAGATAGCAACTGTTCTACCATTATACTAGTTTCCATGTGCCCTTTAGTACTGACTGGAATAGACCTAAAATAATAGTAACACAAAATCGAAATACTCATTAACTAACGCATTAACAAGTGACAAATGTTGATAAAACAACAGTTGCGTAAGACACACTTCACTAAGTCTAATAGATAGGCTTTGACTGACTCGTCACAGAAATTATTGACAATGGTATGTCTTGATTTAGCCAGGATCTCTTTCACTTTAGAATTCTAAAAACAATTTTATAAGTAAAAACCTTAAAATAAACATACCTCAATATTAATGTCCATTTCACCCGAAAATACCTCTGACCATGTCACATGATCCAACACAGACCTCATGGCTTCGCCACATTTACAATTAGCACAAGCACATGAAGATGGCCACGTACCGTAATGAGAAGACTGGTTGATTGTAGTCCTTACAATTCCATAAATATGGCCACTGCAGTACTTAAATACAGAAAACTTCATCTCTACCCAATCTTTAATAGCACTGAACAGCTTTAAGCTACTGGCTTCTACATAAATGGCCATTGACTCCACAGTGCTTGTAGTTGATGGCGATCCTATTTAAAGAAAGCAATCATTTTCAGACAAAAGGAAACATACCACTATCATCAGTCTTCTTTTTTTTGCACGAACAAGGGAGACTGTTTCCAAGAACCTTTACGATTTACCCTCTGCATCCTATTTTTTTCAATGCACAAAATAGGGTATAATAGTAATATATATTTATAATAGTGCAATAGTAAGGTAGGAACCTCCAGACAGTGATGTATCTTATTTATGGCATGTAATGGCTCGTAACATAGATTTAGCAATATCAATATTGAATAAACATAACAGGAGAAAAGAGATCTCACAAAAATCCGTCAAAAAATACTACTACAGTACCAAGCAAGTGATTAACACAGTATTTATAATCATCCAATTATTAATTAATATTATTCAATTAACATGCATAAATATTAGACAATATAACTAATGAGTTATACATTATCTCACATCTTTTCCCCAGTCGGCTGAATCTCATTCAGCCACTCTCCATAGCGATCAGGTGGTCGCCTGGAACGGTTGCTTCACCTCGTAATAGTACTGTTAGTAGTTTCAATGGGCTCAGAACCGCTCTCCTCTGGCGTAGTCTCCGGTAAATCGGGAAGTTGATCTGATTCTTCCAATTCTCCACTGCTTCCTGGCAATACATTCAATTGTCTTCTATTCCTCCGGATAATTCCATTGAAAGTTTGAACTGAATAAGACCTGGGAGCTACTTCTTGAACAATAGTTCCTTGTCTGTCCAGATCTGTAATCCATACTAGAGCTCCAGAATCGAGTGAGTTTTGTTCTCTAGCTCTATGACGCTGATTATAGCTCGATCTTTGAGACTCCTTCAGCTTCTTGTCATCTCTTGACAGTTTTCTCATCTCGAGTACAAGGCTTTGATTGAGTTTTAGCTGTGGGTAATGTTGTTCTTGAATTCCTTCCCATCAACAGTTCAGCTGGACTGTATCCTAGCTTCAGAGGGGTAGCCCTGTAAGCCATCAATAGTAGATATTTATCAGCAGATTTATCTAAGAGCTTCTTTATTTTTTGCACTGCTCTTTCTGCTTCTCCATTTGATTGAGGATAGTGGGAGCTGCTTCTTATATGTTTAAATCCATATACTTTAGCAAAGTCATTAAATTGTTGAGACGAATATTGTGTCCCATTATCAGACACTACATACTGAGGAATACCATGTCTAGCAAAGATGGACTTTAAGTGAGATATTACCTCATTTGAGGTCATGGAAGCCAACTTTGCTATCTCTATAAATCTGGAGTAATCAATTACCAACAAATGTTTTCTGCTTCCACATAAATTAATCAGTACCAATCTTTTGCCAAGGAAAAGATGGAAGCTCTGAAGCTATCATAGGCTCAAATTTGGGCAGTTGTGCTTTGACAGCATATTTGACACTCCTTTATGTAGCTTTCTATATCATTATTTATCCCGGGCCACCATACAGACATTCTTGCCCTTTCATTACATTTAACCAGACCCTGATGGCCAGTATGTAATTTATTTAGAAAATCAGGCTGTAATAGCTGAGGAATTACAATAAGGTTACCTTTCATCAAAATCCCGTCTTTTATCGATAAATCCAAAACTTGGCCATTCTTATTATTCTTCCTTCCTCCCAAGACTTGCATCATCCATCTCATCATCCATCTCTTGAGAATAGGATCTTTCGCTTGATGCTCTTTAATTTCTTGTAATCGTGAGTCAGAAACTGGTAAATATTTAAAAACATGATGA